GGGATGGACATAAGTATGTTAGATGGGTGAATAAAGTATTGAACTTGCACAAATCTGTGGTATTGGATGAATTCAGAATTTGTTTTAAACTGAACAAGTCCTATTAAAAGCAGATTGATCAATGGCTTGAGTATGCTTTTCCTAGGAAAGTCCAAACTCTAGAGCTGAATTTGTTAAATGTTCACAGGTTTTCAGGTGATCACGACAGACAAAACTTGTACTTTTCCCCAAGGACTAGTCGGCCTCAGAAGTGGAAAATCATCAGAAAACCATCCTTTTTCGCCACTTGATTTCAAGTCCCTTAGAGCCTTGACCTTCAGATGCGTCAACGTGACTGAGGAAGTTCTTCAGTTCTTCTTGCATAACTGTCCATTTCTTGAACGTCTGGTAGTGGACGGTTCTCATGATTTGGTAAAATTTGAAGTTTCTGGCCCATCTCTTGCCTTGAAATACCTGGAGCTTCACCATTTAACAAGCTTGAAATCTGTCAAAGTGTGCAATACAACAAATCTTGTATCACTTAAAATGGCTCAAGCAGAAAGGCTAGTGCTTAAGGATGTTCCCAAGCTGGTTGATGCAAACATTGCGGGGTGGTCATGGTCACATAACACTCTCAGGGATGTAGCTGCTTCCTGGCTTTCCAGCTGCCTGTCGAAACTGGAGATCCTTACCTTATTCGACTTGTTTTCAACTGTTCAGGTCAGTCTGAACTTACATAAGACTATACACCGTTAATAGTTTCAAAGATTCTCTCTTTTATACCTAGAATTTTTTTAATTTGAATACTTGAAGCATTACATTTATTAAAAGGTCCCAAATTGCCTGAATTGCTTAAAACATCATTAAAAGGAGATAAAAAGATGTGCTTCTAAACTTATTTCAAGCATCTTATGCAAAAATAACTCATTTATCCTGAAGAAGAGCTAGTAGCATGTTTGAATAAAGATGGAAGTTTTTCCACCTTGACTAATGGCGTTGGAGATTCGAGCGATTGAGAATAGGTCTGTAACGTTATGGTGTTTGTTTCAGATTGCAATTGAATATGCTTAGCAACTTTATGCTGTGATATAGCCAAATTAAAGTTTAAGATGGAAAATGAGAATTGGTAGCAACATTAATAAAATGTATGAATTATGATTAATCTTTTGCTTATATCTACTTCCAACTTAGATCTTGCTTGTTGATTTTGCCTTTTGGTTTTTGGGTCTTCCTAGGAAAGTGAGAGTTTCTTAAGCTTCCTCAACTAACGAGTTTGAAGCAGTTGACCTTAAGGGTTTATGCAAAAAGCGATCGCAGCTTGATAGGATATACTTCTTTGATTAGGGCTTCACCCAATTTGGAGAAGTTTGTATTAAAGGTATATTTTGTTCAGGGCAACTTGAACTAAATTATAGTGTCATATTTTTGCTTGTGTCTATAGAGGTTTTGGTTGGTATTAATTAATTTATATTTTTTAGAAAAAAAAGTAAGGGGAAACTACATATATATTTGATTTTTTTTTTTTTTTTGGGAATGGGGAGAATGACATAAACTTGAAGATTACCAAAAGCTCTCTCCTGTGTCCATTCCCTGAATCTCTGCCATTTGGGTTCGTGCGTTTAGACTTCAAGTTTCATATAGAGTAACTTCCCAAATAGTGGGATTTTTGGAAACAAATAGTTCCTTAAGGGTGGGAGTTTTGGAAAAAAGTTTCAAATTGGAAGTATCTATCAAAAATTCTGCCAATGAAAGAAAAATAAATTTCGTTAATGACTTTTTTTTTTTAACAGTCTCACTACTTGGTTTGAAAACATCTTTCAGAAACTATGATAGTTTCGGAAATTACCTTTACTTGGAATGCAGCCTTGGTTCTCACTAAGTTACTGTAAGCAAGTAGCATTGAGGGAATGGCACTATAGTATATACTTTTACTACAATACTGCTTTTTTTTTTTCCCTTTCCTCTATCATTCTGGCAAAAAAATTTCTGTGGGGCCGTGGGAATGGCACTATAGTGTATCTAACATGGTTTGCTCGTTTTTTGCACCTTTCCCGTTTTGCAGCTGCAATGGAGTTTTTATATGAAGAGAAGCGACAGAAAATTTAAGAAAGCCACAAGTCATCCACCACTTATCAATTATTTCTTGAAAAATGCTATAGCTCTTGAGAATATTGCAGTCGACCCTCGTGAAGACTTGGCATATCGATTTCGTCGATGCATGGAGAAAATTGAACAGGGAGGAATTGCAAGAAGTTTGGCCAAAGAACAGCTAGATGGAAAAATTCCTTCACATATTAAATTGGTGATTCTTTAGCTTTTATCCTGGAAAACTGCTTACATTTAGGGTCCGTTTGTTTCGGGTGAAAATGTTTTCCAGGAAAATATTTTCCTAATTTTCCGTGTTTGGTTGCACAAAAGTTACTGAAAACATTTTCCTATGTAAAATATTTTCACTCATCTTATGGAAAACAACTTCCCTTCCAAACTTACTGAAGTTGTTTTCCGAAATGCATGCATCCCGCCTGTAGTATGTTCCAAACTTAGTGAAAACATCTTGTAGTATGTTCTTTTTTTTTTTAGTGTAAACAGGAGGATTCGAACCCAAAACCTCTTCCTTACACTCCCTCCCCCGTACCACCCAACCCAACCCAACCCTCCCCCTAGTATATTCAAAATAAAAAAAAAACCTCATCCTGCTCATCCTATGCTAGTAATTAATTATGTGTAATAGGAATATTCTTTTCTAGAGAAACTTTCAGCAGTGAGAGTGCAAGATATATGTCACAATAAGCATTGCATATGATTGATTTTTGACACTAAATGGCCAGCAATTTGTTTATTGCTTAAGGAGATATTTTTTATTCATATATACATTTCTCCAAGATTTTTTAAAGTTAAACAATGAGATAAATTTTCTTATTTTGCATGGGAAGAAGTATGTAGTTATAATGTATAGAAAGTAAAGATAGAGATAAAAGTGAAAATATTTCAAAAGTTAAACAAACACCAGAAAAATGAAGTAAGAAAATATTTTCAATAAGTTAACCAAACACCTGAAAATGATGAAAGGGAAATGATTTTCATGAAAAATTACTTCCACGGAAAATATTTTCCCAAGGAAAACATTTTACTTCCAACCAAACAGACCCTTAGTGGCCGCTGTTTGTTTTCTAGAAATTGTTCATATGCCTCTAGTCCAGTTACCACTTAGGCTTATCTATTGATTCGTACTAAGATTATGGCAAATTCTTAACCGAAAAATCGAAGCCTTTCAAATATATGTTCTCATTGGAAAGTTAATTAAGTTTCATAAGAAGGATATGTGCTTTGTAATATAACATCAGTGACTCAAATTACTCGAATTGCTCATCTAGAAATGAAATAGGACCAAACAAATAACACCTTAATCTCATCCTTAACCAGTAGTAATATATTAACAGAATTTTCAAATTACATCAAAAGATTTTTTTCTAATAGTTATTCAATGAGCACTTGTTAATGCATATCTTCATATTTATTGCCCTCGCCATAGTTCAATATTTTTCCAAATAAATTTTATTTTTTTCAAAAGTTATTAAAGTCTCTTTTGAAGAGTATCCATTGAACAGTCATTAATTGAACCCAAATAACAAAAGTTGGATTGTCCTTATTTTTAACAATGAAATAGCAAGTGGAATTATTTCCCCAGTTGGAAATATTCTCTTTTTTTCTCTTGGACAATTTCGAAATTTCTATGTTTTTAAGCTTTGGAAGGGACCGAAGGCAGACGAACAAGGAACTTGTACGTGAAGTAAGAAATCGTGTTAAAGATAAATCCATCCAATTATTAAACAAATCCAAAACAATTCAGGAAACGGGTTTAAACTTTGACAAGCTGTTCTTCAGCTATATGTTGAAACCTTAGGCCTGTTTAATTCGGCCTGTCTTTCTATTCCGTTTTCCCCCCCTTTCCAAGAACTCTTAAGAAAAATTTTACATGTTTTAGGCCCAAAGAGTTCTTCTGTTTTTGGCACGTTCGGAGTACAACGATAAGAGCTATGAACTGAAAGCTTTGAACTCAATGGCAAAAGCAAAAGAGGTAATAATCAACACTAATTGTCTCTTTAGTAAATCCTCTGGAATATTGTACGAGCGGAATATTCACATTCAGGGTTTCTTATATTTGATTTTTGTGAAAAATATTTGTTGGTTTTGTTTTAAATTTAAAAAGTCTGTGTTTTTACCGGTTTACTCAACACAAATTCCCTCTTGACGTCTTCCTTCCTAAAACACAGCTAGTGAAGACTAGCCAGCAGGAATTGTCCGAGGATCGGATCAGGTCTCTACCTGATGAACTATCTTTTCCAATGCTCAAGGAAGCAGGAAGAACAAGTGTTCTATCAAAACGATGGATACATCTTTGGATGGGTACTACTAATCTTAATTTTGATGCTACAGAAGTGTAAGAGGAGTTAGGAAAATCAGATATTACACGGAAGGAGCGTCAGATACTATGAAACAGGGAAAGGCATAAATATATTAGGTGGGTGGATGCAGTGTTGAAATTGCATAACTCTTTGGCGTTGGATGAATTCAGAATTTGTTTTGATTTGGACAACTCCCATCAAAAGCACATTGATGAATGGCTTGGGTACGCTTTTGCTAGGAAAGTGCAATGGCTAGAGTTGAATTTGTTAGTTGCTCAAGGGTTTCCAGGTGATTACAGTAGAACATATACTTTTCCCCGGGGACTAGTTGGTCTCAGAAGTGGAAAATCAACAGAAAAACATCCTGCTTCGTCGTTTGATTTCAAGTCCCTAAGAGCGTTGATCTTGAGACGTGTCAACATGACCGAGGAAGTTCTCCAATCCTTCTTGCATAACTGTCCATTATTTGAACGTCTGGTAGTTCATGGTTCTCATGATTTGGTGAACCTTGAAATTCTGGACCATCTCTTGCCTTGAAGCACCTGAAGCTTCACTATTTAACAAGCTTGAAATCTGTCAAAAGTGAGCAGTACAACAAATCTTGTATCACTTAAAATGGCTCAAGCAGAAAGGCTAGTGCTTAAGGATGTTCCCATGCTTCTTGATGTAAACATTACGGGATGGTCAAGGTCATACAACTTTGTAAGAGACGTAGCTGTTTCTTGGCTTTCCAGCTGCCTGTCGAAACTGGAGGTCCTTACCTTATTTGACTTGTCTTCGCCTTCGGATCAGGTCTCCCTGAACTTATATGGCCTATGCTCCTTTCATTATTTTCGAGCATGCTCTTTTTTACACCTGGAACTTTTATTCTAAATATACACTTAACGCATTACCGTTGTTAAAAGGTCCCAAATTTCCTGAATTGCTAAAAACTTCAGTAGAAGGAGATCAAAAAGATATGATCTAAACTTGTATTTTGAATATCTTATGCAGTAATACCACTTTCATCCTTTAGAAGAGCTAGTAGCATGTTTGAATACATATAGAACTTTCACCTTGATTAATGGTTTTGGAGATTCAGGCGATTTCAAATAGTTTTGTACCGTTATGACCTTGCTAAATGAGTATGCTTAGCAACTTCATGCCGTGGATGGACCAAATTTAAAGTTTAAATAAGATCCAAATTGAGGAGTGGTGGAAACATTGGAGGTGCAAATTGTGATTAGTCTTTTGTTTATAATTTGCTTATACTTATTTCTGATTTGCATATTGCTTGTTGATTTTGCCTTTTGGTGTTTTGGTCATCCTAGCCTCATGAGCAGATTCTCGAGCTTCCTCAACTATCGAGTTTGAAGCAGTTGACCTTGCTGGTTTATGCATCGAAAGATCGCGGCCTGATTGGATGTACTTCTTTGATTAAGGCTTCACCCAACTTGGAGAAGTTCGTCTTAAAGGTATGTAATTTTCAGTCAACTTTAACTAAATTTAAAGTTACTGTGATTTGTAATCTCTGCATTTGCTTCTAACTATGGCATTCAGCAACATTGAACTTTGAATATATCAAAAGTTTTGTCTATAGAAGTTTTGATTGGCAGTAATTGATATTCTCCTGAAAATATATCAGGGAAAAATTACCTAATTCTTGATTGAGGAACTCGATATATTTTATTTTCTTCCGTTCACAAGGGGGAAAATGGCACAAGTCTAAAGATTTCAGAAGGCACCTTCCCCAGTCCATTCCCTTCCATTCAGTTTCGATATAGTACTATGATAGATTCTTAAAAGTAACAATACCGTGCTTTTATTCTAGAAAAAACTTTTCTTTCCCACCATTTTTTTCTGTTTTGTATCAACATGGCTTGATGATTATTATCAACCTTTCATGTTTTGCAGTTGCAGTTGTATTCTGATATCAAAAGAAGCAACAGAGAGTTTAAGAAAGCCAAAAATTATCCTCATCAACATCTTAAAGTGGTGAAAATATCCGGATACTATGGTCGGAAAAGTGAAGTTGAACTTATCAATTATTTCTTAGAAATTGCTATAGCCCTTGAGAATATTATAGTCGACCCTCATGAAGAGTTGACGTACCGGTCTCGGTCCATGCATGAAGAGAATTAAGAAGGAAAAAGTAGCAAGAAGTTTTGCTCAAGAACAGCTCGAGGGAAAAATCCCTTCACGTATTAACTTAGTGATTCTTTAGCTTTTATTTTTTGAAAATTGTTTACATTGTGCAGGAGCCTTTTTTTTTTGGGTGGGGGGGGGGGGGTTTAAGCTTCGGTATTCGTCAATTTATTCCTTAATTTCCATACATGTTGTCATCTTTACAGATTTTGATATACATATGTTCTCACTTCATTGTAAGAACATTGATCTTGAGATGTGTCAATTTTGGCCGTGGAAGTTCTTGGACACTTCTCGAATGTTGGCAATATAAACCAAACTTAAGAGTTTCTATTTATTTATTTACTAGTTTTATTGGAGTCAGAGTTTTAGTAGTTGTGTGATTTAGAAATTTTATTTTATTTGATAATTTTTTTATACAAGTGTTTTCTTATCAAACAAGTCTGGTGGGTTATAAATACCATATTATTTAGAGTGTTTTTTCAAAAAAAGTTCAGAAGAGTTTGTAAGATTTTTTATTGTTTTGTGATTTTCTTGACTATTTTAAGATATCAATAATATTTTGAGTTATTTATTTCTCTTCTCTTCCACATAAATATTTTGAATATTTGTTTTATTCCTTTAATTCTGTAACACTGCACGCATCAATTATTATTAGAACCCTAAATTTGAGTTCTGCATTGAATAATTGTCCATATCTTGAACGTCTGGCAGTGGATGGCTCTCATGTTTTGGTAAATCTTGAAGTTTCTGGTCCATCTCTTGCCATGAAATACCTTGAGCTTATCAATTAGGTTTGTATTATTTGAACACTTTCAACAACACTCACTTTCACACTAGAAATTCAGTGTCAAGCTCTAGCACATTATAGTGACAAGAACGGCCCATGTTGCCCGAATTGCTTAAATTTCTGCAAAACATATACTTATCTTGAGCATCTTCCACTTTCACCCTTGACAAAAGCTAGTAGCATGATTGGTTCTGTAGTATTAACTATTAAGTTATCTTTCCTGAACCATCACAATACTGCCAAGTAGGGTTGACTCAGCCAATATTGCAATGCTGCCAAGTACGGTTGACTCAGCTAATACTTTGACTAAAAGTAATTCGGACATAGTCGTATTATTTAAAATATTATTTAGAATAATTACTGTAGCACTTTTTGTGATGTGATGTATGTGAGATAAAAAGGTGATTAAGAATATAAAAAATTAGATTGAAAAATATGTTTATGATACAAGTAAAATATTATATTATTTGAAAAAATCTTCTATCCAAACATTCCCTTCAATTTTGAAGTAGCTAACTAGCACTTTTTTAATCGAAAGGCAATACGTAAAAGCTAATCTAAACATCCATTACTATTTCTAATTTTTTTCCTACCAAAAGAAAATAAAAGAAATCAAATACTAATAGTAGAGCTGGCAATTTGTCCCAAGTCCCAATGGGCTACCCATGCACAAAGGAACTTTGGGCGGGATGGGTATTATAATTTGGTATTGGGTTTAAGTTGGGACACATCCCAACTATACCCATTAATGAATGGGAAAGGGTGGGAAATACTTGGGTACCCATTGGGCTCAAATAACAAGGGCTCTGTTTGGTTTAGCTATTTTTGGGGGATATTTTTGAAATATTTTATTATAGCAGTGTATATGAAAAATTTTTACTATAAATTTTTTTTGAAATATTTGATATACTAATATGGATGGGATGTTTTTTGAGTTATTGTATGTTACTGTAACATTGTATTTGAAAAACTTATTTTTTGAAAAAATAGCCAATCCAAACGGAGTCTTAGATTCAAAAATTATCTTTAACAATTTTTATAGTCATACTAGAGAATATAATCTAGTAGTTTTCCTAGTCATTATCCACAAGAATTTTAAACATTTCAGTCAATTTAGACCTGTCATCTTTGGACAATGATGAGAATAAATATTCAATATCTTAAGTACCTTGGCCATCTTGATATATGTTGGAATATGACTGTATATCTATTTTTTTCTTTATTTGTTAATCCAATTTTTGATGGGAATCCTGAGTATAAAGCACTTGCATGTTTATTTAATAAAATTAAAAAAAATTTAATAAATCAAAAATATTAAAATTATATAAAAAATAAAAATGAATTAAAAGAAAAAAATATATGTAGAAAATAGATTTGGGTATTGGGCGGGATCAATCTAAACCCATCCCAAAGTGATCCCGCCCAACTTAGTCCCAAAACACATATGGGTAAGATTGGGCCCATACCCATATGACTCGGTTCCATCACAAACCCAAGCAAATCCCGCCCATCCCGCCCATTTTGCCACCTCTAACTAATAGTGATTGAAAATTCTCAATAAATTTCCCTTCACAATTGATAACAACTTCTTCCCTCATTGAATTCTCATTGATACTACCACCATACTAGTACTTTACTACCGCCCAAATCGGTCCCTGCAGCAAACGCGTTTTAGTACTAGAAGGAGCAGACCATAAAAGTCTAGAGAACAAAAGGATAAGAAGAATAATTAATAATGACCATCGAGCCCAGTGTCTATGTTTTAATTCTCTACAAGCAACTAAACTTTGGCAGAGCCTGAATGAGTGGACGATGGTGACATTCTTTCTCCATTAGTTGACGTCAATCCCGCACTCTATCCAAAAACCTCTCTCAATCTTGGGATTCTTGGCAGCCATTTTTTTTTTTTTTTAATTTCCTTATATATTTTAACTTTTTCCACTTTCATCTGATTGGTCTACTAATGAATTCCACTGTTGCTTGCCCAATGATATAAGCAACCTAGCAAAACTTCCAGGACAAGACCACGGCATTTTCCAGAGTCCACACTATATATTTTATACGTATAAATATAGAAACAGACCATTGTTAAATGATTTCAGTCTTTTGGCTAAAGAAGCAAAAGATATGTCCAGCTCAGATGATGAAAAACTATCCCAGATGATCAGAGACTACATTGAGTTGGATCCATCATCTCCTATTTCTTCTTCAAAATCCCTCCAAGTCGATCAAAAGTCATCGTTCGTGTACTTACAGGTTTGTTTACAGTATCAAGATACTTCTAGTCTTGACATATACCTGCTGTTGCCAAAAAAAAAAAAGGGGGTTTTGTTCCTTTTTTGGCTAATATTAATCGTTTTGTATGATTGGTTTTTTCAGGAAATTCTTGAGCGTGTAACTGTTGCCGAGTCTGAAATTCTTAGAAAAATCTTTTTGTACTGGAAAGATTTAGAGCCCAGCAAGCTAAGAAAATGGGTTGTTATGAATTTGGGAAAGGACTATTACGACGCTAGTCTTTGTAGGACTTCTTGGGTCACAAAATTTAATCGCTCTTCAGGTATTTCCATCACCAAACTTTGTGTGTGTTAATGTGGATTTTCTAGTATGTATAGTCAAGTAATCAAAATGTAAACTAAATTTCACGGAATAATGATATATTCTTCTTTTTCTTATTCTTTCCTTTGTGGGTTGATAGTTTTTGAATTTACAGGTGAATACGAGTACATTGATGTGATGATGAAGAATGATGCTACAAGTGATGGTGCTGTGAGATTGATTGTAGACATTGATTTTAGGTCTCAGTTTGAGCTGGCAAGGCCTACACCAGAATATGAAGAGCTCTCAAATTCTCTGCCTTCAATTTTTGTTGGGACAGAACTAAAACTTGAAAAGATCATCTCTTTGGTTTGTTCAGCTGCAAAAGAGTCTTTAAGAGAAAGGGGTCTTCACATTCCTCCATGGAGAAAAGCTAGTTACATGTACTCCAAGTGGCTCTCTGAAAATTGCAAAAAGATCTCATTCCCAGAGCTTGGGACAATCTAATTTGGCAATTTTTTTTTTTTTGTGGGTTTGCCAAATTTAGCAAAAGGAATCTGCAGCTATGAAGGATCACTTCATTTAGGGAAGAAAAAGTGGTCCTTTTTGGGCGTCCATACATTTTGTTTGAGTTTTGTAGACTCCCAAACTGTTTTGGCTACAAATGCGGATAAGTTTTTTGTTTATCTAAGGAAAAAGATATTCGAAGATGTTACTAATGCCTAGACCTTGTTTGGAATGTGATCTCTACCAAAAAAAATTTTACGTTTTTTATAAATATATTTTTAATTATACCTTTATCTTGCGTATGTCAAAGTATTACGCTGTATTTTTTCGCAAATACTCCTGAGTTGTCGAGGATTGCCTTCAGTTTTCACCTTGTTGTACGAAACTACGGCAATCATGTCTTTTACCTACCATATGTCTATCGTGTTCAATGAGTCAGTTTAGATAGTAAAAAAGAAAAAGAAAAGGCGTATACTTTGTGTTCCCTTTTTTTTTTTTCTTGCTGTTTTTTGGATCCAAAATTGTGTTTTTTTAATCCAAAATTGTGCGTTTATCTTTGTGCGTTTTCTATAAAGGAATTACATGCAATGTTTTAAAAATCGGACCGTTAATTGAACCGGTGAAGTGAAAGGGTTGAAATTCAATCGGTCGGATCGGTTCAACCTTGGTTCAATGAATTTTTTTAAAAATAATTTATATAAATATATATATGCACAAAATAAGACATGTAATGGACTAATTTAATACTTTACATGATGAAAAGTTTACAATTTTTGAATAACTTGGATTTTTAAAAATAAATTATTTTTTTGAATTATAAGTTAAAACAAATAAATTTCATCTCAATTTCAATTATATCTATCAAAAAATCTTAAATCCAACCCAAAAATATCACAATATTTTGAAATTATACAAAATTCACGTCTATGAGAATTTAGACATTGTGAACTTAAATTTTAATTTACGTTTTGGAATTTAGAGATTGCAATTTAAAAAAGAAAGTTTGGAGTTCGAAAGAAGTCAAGAGAATCAAAAATAGAAATGCAAACTTGATAAGAAACAAAAAATGAGATAAAAGTAAGTGGTTGTGGCATTAAATAATTTGGGTTAAAAAAATAATTCTTTTTTAACTTTGTTAATTTAATGGACAAAAATAAAATTAAAA